GACAACAATAAAGGCGATTCGTAGTAGAGCGAATTGTGTTGACCAATCTGCAGATTTCTCTTCAACCGCCACCTTCGTCTTTGCTTTCTTTGCGGCCTTCGTCATTTCTGGAAAATACGTCGGATAAACTGTTGTTGGAATTCAAATCTAGACGAAAATTGCGACAAATCTTTGCATCAAAACGATCGCGCTTTAGTCAGGCAAAGAGGTTATGAAATATGCTCTCACTACCCCTGCTATGAGCATTCGCTATGAGCGTAGCGAGGTCATGAAAACCAATGCGAGAATGAAGGTTATGGGCATGAATCCGAGATATGCATGCGCTTTTCAGTTGTGTTTTAAAATGTACCAAGCCAGCTGAGGCCTTCACAGCGTTGCGTTTTCTGGAGAGCTCTCGAAAGCTGCAAAACAAAGGCGCTAAAAGGCTAATGCTCTTGCGAATGAATGCCGAAAGCGCAAGTCTCCGCCCATTGTTCGATAGTTCCCACGTTGCAAGGTAATTACGATGAGATAACAAGTAGCGCCCAACGCAGCAGGATAAGTGCGTCAGAACATATCACTGAATTGGATATGATATCAGCAGACGAAGGCTCACTCATGCCCTCACTTGCTTAGCGTTGTTTTCACACATCTCCTCAAATCAGCTGTAAAGTAGAGGGAATAAAAGTGAGTGAGGACCTCGTTATGAGGATTCTTAGTGACTTTACTGCTTTCTTCCTGGCAGGAGACGTGAAGAGCAGCTCTGCTTTTTCTCATTAGCTAAGCCTACACTCTGACTTTAAGGGAGGAGTCCATCATTGGCAAAAATGATAAAACAAAAATTCGACGTTAATCAATCTTTTCGAAATGCGCCACGAATTCCAGATCCATTCTAGGCAAGGTAGAATTCGAGACTCCACCCTGCTCGTGGAAGATTGGCATCACTTGCACTGCAACAACACTCGAACAATCCTTTCATTGAGGACGCAAAGGATGGGTAATACATTCGTAATTCCCAGCTTCCTTCCCGAACTTGGAATTAAGCTATATGAAATCCAGAATCATATAAAACCAAATTTATCATGTGAAATTGAGCCACATACTCGCATTCTTCAAATTGATTACCAACAGCCTCGTAGGTTGCTTTTAGAGAAAAAATTACCACTACTAGTTCCGAGGGAAAATAGAAGCATTAAATCATCTATTTCAGCTTCGAGGCACCTAAGCATTCTCCACTCACAAATAAGAATTTGTAGTGGCCTATGAATGCGATTTGGGCCCATACAGTCATTTGCCGGGCCAGTCGGTGTATAATTCAATGCGTTTAACCTCCCAGGTAAGACAATCCCGATACAAAATGGCTGACTCCAAAGGGAAGGAAGGCTTGGTTGAACTGTGTGGCGTGCGATTACGGATTGGATCCCGTGAACACCACTTCCATCCTCCCTATTAAAGGAATCCTTCACGAAAAAATCATGATTCTATTTCAGCCATAAATCACTGGCTTGAGACCCATCATAAACTCTAACAAGAAAGAACAGAAAAATGCGTTTGTTTGGTAAGGTAAAAAAACCGAAAAACCGGAAGGGCTGCTGCGCGTTAAAGTCACCGCCGCCTACCAGTCACAAATACTGGCGCGGGAATACTTCCACTTGGTTCTTGGAGTGCCGTCACTGGAAATTCTTTCTGGCCTTTTGACTTATTGCATTCACATCTCACACTTCTACTCCATCCTATTCTATCGATCGATTTGTCTCTACTCTCCGAAATCGCACGCTTTACCCGATTCTTTCATTGCGTCGCCTGATACGTAGCCGGCCAAAGGCCAACTTCTTTCCATGCCTCGCCTTTGGCTCCGCCCGAATTACCTTCGATTGTCCATAGAGTGTAGTTTTGTACGTTTATGCGTGAAACTTTGTGTGTTGCTTCCAGTGATCACAACTAATACATTCATGTTGAGAAAGAATACAAAAATTTTCCGCGAAGGATTCCTTCAAATAAACCACTGAATTGATGCGTATAGTTTGTATGGAAAGATGGATCATATGCTTATTTCTTCCTTCAATATTTTCCCGGCCCCTTCGCGAGCGAGCTTTTGAAAAATGCAGCATCCATTTAGCTCAAAGCTGATCCAAGGCCGAGTTACCCCGCGGCGTAAGGGAAGGAAATTAACTAGTGCCCGCCATGATCACTGCTCGAAAGCGATCCCCAAGTTGAGGATGACTCGGGCTCATGCGATTCCTACACACATCGAAGACTCATGAGTTATGTTCACTGAGACTGGAAGAGCTTTGTTAGTGGTGCGCAGATTCTAGAAAAGCATTTGAAATAGCCGTCAGTGCTTGAATCGCTGCTTCTGATAACCGGCAAGGTCGCGTTCAGTCGATGTGGTCATACCCCACTGAAGGCAAAACTCCGGATAAAACGAGCACTCAACACACCTGTTCGAGTATGGAGTGTGGGTGCTAAGTTGATCGAAGGTAATGAAAGAAGCAGGAAATACCTCCAACGAACTCCAAAATTAGAAATTCCTCTTCGTTAGTCGCTTACGAACCAGGGCTGGGAAAATTACGCGTTTGGACATGTCTACAGCAACTGTTGGCTTTGTGCCATCAACCGACACGGCCAACAATGAAAACTGATTTTCTTCTAGTTTCCCTATTTTTTCTATTTTTCAGTGCTTTTTTTCGTTTTCTTCCTATCTTAAAATTTTTTCTTCTCACTAGGATCATGACAACGTTCTCGAAAATGGTCGTAACATAGGCTTTGATGTTGATTCCCGCAGTTGAAATCCGCTAAATATTCCCCTACGACTTTCCAAACAACGGCTTAACATCTAGCGTCCCAGGTGGTTGTTTGGAAGATCACGTAGGACGGTGGGCGGGCTCAATGGGGTTGGGGCGGCGCCAATGCTCCCTACCTAGGTTCCTAGCGCCTAAACCTTATCAAAACGCCCCGCCACTTCTGCACATGGTCTGTCCCTGCGTACTGCTGCATATTTGATGGGGAAAACCCAGATTTCGCCAGAAATCCCGGAATTTGCCTTTAAAGGCAGCGATTACGATAAAGTGGGAGCGCATCGGGGAAGCATATGCACCACACAAATCAGTTACTTGGCTGCCAGGGAAGCGAGGTGTAGCGCTTTCACGACGCAAGGTTCGCTGGTTGCTGAGCAGGACTTCGAAAGCACTCCGCCCCCAAAAGCGATCCGCCCACTAGTTTAGTTGGTGATTTGGACGAGCTGCGTTGCCAGCAGCGGCACAACTGGAGCAACTCGATTGGAGTGTGGTTTGGCATGGTGTTACCAAACGCGTTGCGCTGAACTCGTTCATACGCCCGCTTTCTGAGCTGTCACCTGTTCATGAGTGAAAACCAACGGCCAAAAAAGGGGTCCCATTTTGCGTTTTTTGACGGATTTCTCCGCTTTTTCGCCACTGGCGTACCACTT